AATAGAGAAAATTAATATTCTCTTCTGATTACACTTCACATGTGATTAAATGTTTAGAATTACAGGTCTATCAGAAATGAAAGATAAGATCAACTCAAATTTCAAAGAAATGTTTCAGTAGTTTTCTTTGCATTATTTTTCATAACTCAATAACCCTTGGGTATTCAACAAAGCCAGTGATGCATCAGTTAGTTTGAGTAAGTTAATCAGTGGCAATAGTTCAATTGTAATAATTTCTCTCAATAAGTAACTCTAGAATTAATTAAATAAAAAGAAAAAATATTTAGATTTTAAAAACATGGATAATTAAATACTGATTGCTGACTTTCCTGGAGCAAAGTAATTTTGAATTTAATGAGAAACTATTTGAAAATTTTCAAACTTCAAAATTCTTTATGCAGAAATAAACTACTATGTAAAGAAATTTTAAATTATTTTTCTGAATTGCTATATGTAAAAGAAAAAATCACAGCTATGAAACCTGGAAGATGAGGATAGATTCAGTCAATCTCTTGAAGATATACTAACTAAAGAGTTGACTGACTACAAGCTGTGCTGACATGTCTCAAGTGTGCTTTTTTTCTCCTTTCAAATTTACTTTCATTAGAAGGGATGACAATGGACATTTTCGGTGCTAATATTCCAAATACAAAAAGTGAACTTTTAAAAGAAGTAACACACAATTATATATATATATATATGTATGGTATTCAGCTTTGTTCGGGTATTTTCCCACGTCATTGTAGTTGTGCTTTTAAAGTTGTAGCAACGTTTCGGCAGAATCTCATCTGCCACCATCAGGCTTCTGTATTGTGTTCGTCTGTGAGTCAGACTATCACAGCCGTTTCAGTTTTAAATTTGGGGCTAGCCTACTGCTATGCCAGAATGGTTTTTTCTTCATCCTGATTGGTTGGGAGTCTTGGTCTGTGTTTATTGGTCTTGGAGTTTGCTGTGTTCTGCTTGATTGGTGTTTCTAATATCTTCTGTCTGTTTTGTGGGTTTTTTTGTCTTGGTTGGCTGGCAACATTGTGTTCCTGTATTGGAGGCCTTTAGTGCAGCTTGGCTCCGAGTAAATGGATGGCTATCATTTGTTAGGAAGCTAGGTTTCATCTGGGTGCCTGGTTGGGGTGTGTTTGAGCTGGAGGTATCAGGGGGGATCTGTTTGTGCCCAGGTGTTTGCCTGGCTTGTGATGTGGAGATTTTTTTGTTTGTGAGTGCAGGCTTCCAAATAATTGACAGTCTGGTGGAATCATCTCTTCTATTCATGCTTTCAGGTCTTTTATCAATCTCTATGACTTCTCTGATGATTCTGTGGCTGGGGTTTTCTATAGTGGCTAGGGTTTTGGTGCCACTGAAGTTGATGCTATGATCTGTGGCTTTCATGTGTTGGACTAGTGAGGAAGTGTGTTCCAGCTTTTTTACTGCATTTTTGTGTTCATCCAGGCAGGTACTTATTTTTCTTTTGGTCTGTCCAATGTATGTGGCAGGGCATGATGCACAGGGGACTTCATATATGCCTTGGTTTTCCAGGTCAATTTTATCTTTGGGGTTTCTAAGGATGGCTGCTATTTTTCTGTCTGTTTTGAAGGCAGTCTTGATGTGATGCCTGTAGTATCTTACTGATTTTGTCTGTAGCACCTCTTATGTAGGGCAGAACAGCTGTTCCATAGGTCTGTTCATCTTCTAGGTCTCCATTATGTCTCACTGTGTTTTTGTGGATCAAGCCGGTGATTTTGCTTTTGTGGAAGCCGTTGGCTGTCAGTACTTTAGTCAGGGTGCATAGTTCAGTCTTTATGTGTGTCTTGTCTGCCAGGCGTTTGGTTCTGGTGATTAGTGTTTTGGCCAGGGAATTTATCGGTGCTGGGTGGTGATGGGATTGGGCGTTGAGGTAGCGGTTAGTGTGTGTTTTCTTCTAGTATAGGGTGTGTCCTAGTGTGCCATCTGTTTTTTTGTAGATTAGTACATCTAGGAATGGTAGTTGTTTGTTTGTTTCCGTTTCCATGGTGAACTTGATTTTGGGGTGTGTGCTGTTTAGGTGTGTTAGGAAGTTGTTTAGGTTTTCTTTTCCATGGGGCCAAATCACGAATGTGTCATCGATGTATCTTAACCACAGTTTAGGTTTATGGGTGGCATTAGCCAGGGCTCTGGATTTGAATTCTTCCATGAACAGGTTTGCAATGACGGGTGACAGTGGTGATCCCATAGGGGCTCCTTCAATTTGCTTATATCTTTGTCCTTTGTATATGAAATATGTTTGGTTAAGCAGTGTTCTGTTAGTTCCATGAGGTGTTTAGCTGGTTGGTATTTATTTTTGATGATTTCAAGGGTTTCTTTTATCGGGACTTGAGTACAATACAAAAGACAAAGATACTGGTATTCGAAACAATTAACATATAAAACACTGCCAACCAGTACAGTGATCTCCAAGAGTACAAGGATTCAAGGTTCAGTGGAAAATTTCATCTATGACTGAATCATTTGCTATCTGATACTGTATATCAGGGCTATTTAGCTGCACTATTGCAGGTAGTTTAATTTACACCTCTACTAAGGTTTGAAAACCTTTCTATAAGGATTTATTTATGAACAGGAAATGAAACTATTCAAAATTATTTCAAACTACAGTACTACGACAGTTACAGATTAATATGATTTATATGATATTCTATTGAAAGAGAACTCAAAGGAACTAACAACTTTAAAAAATAAACAATTAAGATAAACAAGTATCTCACATTGATAAGCGACCTGGGGAGAAAGCAAACAATTTCAGGCCAGTTAGGAGAGACCATCTTCCGGGGGACTTCCGGTTTGAGCTTCTTCAGCGACAGACCTCTGCGAGGCTTCGATCCATACTCGCTGCTGGAGCGCTCCGAGCTGGCTGGTTTCGGGGCTAAGCCACCCTGTAGAGGTGGTGAAGAGGGGGGAGACTGCCAGCAGGGTTGAGGAGAGCCGCATCTCTCCTCCCCAGCTGGCCATTACTCCCTTTCTTGAAGGCGGTTGCAGCGGTGGTCAGAAATGGCCACCACAAAGAAGAACTCGACCGGAAAAGAATGTGCAGGAGGAAGATAAGAAGAGAAAGTTTTGGTTGACCGGGTCAAACAACAAAAGCAACAAATAAGGTACCCTAGAATTGAAACTATTTAAAAAAAAACAATAACATTGTTCCCTAAGAAGATTTTTAAGCTGCGAAGGAGAGAGAAAAGGGAAAAGATTTGGTTTTCTCCTTTTCCTATACTGACACCTAAGAGACTTAAGCAAGAAATTGGAAAAAAATCCACTTTGACATCAATAGGCATTTAATGCTGAAAATAAAAAGTCACAGGGATAATAAAGATTTCTGGATAATTAAAAGCTTTTGAAAACAGGAAAGGAGAGAAAAAGAATAAAAGGGTAGAATCTGGAAGGGAGGAGACTGCCTGGAATTAAAAAAGAACTTACAGTAAAATCTCAACAAGACTTCCAAAAAATACATTCTAACTGAAATATCGCAACAAAAACCCCAGGAAGAGAAAGTCGAAAAAGGAGAGACCATCTTCCAAGAATGGTCTTCTTGATGACAACAATGGTACCACTGATATAGATGAGAAGGCAGAAAGGATTTGAAGACCAGAGACAGAGCAATTGTTACAGGAGAGTATAGCTATTTGCATACATTTATTTATTTAACACAATTAAGATTATTAAATAACTTTGGGTGGATATCTGTGCGTGTGTATGAATTAAAACAGGTAAATTATAAAAAAGTGTAAGCATCCAGAAGGCAAACTCTCTATAATAATAAAAAAATTGTACAGTGTCTCAACCATCAAGTTACTCAAGGCTTTGAAGAGCAGCTAAGATTGCAGTGACTTTTTGAACATCCTCAGGGTATGAGCTATAAAGATCTTGGAGGAGATATTCCACAGTTGCAACTCAGAAGACTCATTTTCTATGTTCCAATAGATGGTACTGAATGAAAAAGGTGTTAGATTTCTTAGGCATAACAACATTTCAGAATAATTTCTCAATATCAGGGTATATGTATATGTTCAGTGAACAAAGATCTAGATCTAAATTTAGAATATATACTGTATATATAGCAGCAGTAGGCTAGCCCCAAATTTAAAACAGAAACGGCTGTGAAAGTCTGACTCACAGATGAACACAATACAGAAGCCTGATGATGGCAGATGGGATTCTGCCGAAATGTTGCTACAACTTTAAAAGCACAACTATAATGATGTGGGAAAATACCCGAACAAAGCTGAATACCATACATTGTATATATTTATATCTACATCCATTTATCTATATCTAAATATCTCGTACATATTCCCAGTATGTCTTAGTAACTGTCTGTTGACATATATAATAGAATTCTTTATTGGCCAAGTATGACTGGACACACAAGGAATTTGTCTTCGGTGCATAAGCTCTTTGTGTACATAACAGATATAAGCAATAAATCATGATCATAGTCATAATATATTCATCATGAATCAAAAGATACAACATTTAGTGATAGTCATAGGATACTAAATAAGCAATCAAAATCATACTAAAAATGAAATAAAACAATATAATCATAAAGATATAAGCAACAAGGTTATAGTCATAAGCAGAAAAGGAGATAGATAATAGGAGGGATGAGAAGAATAATAGTAATATAGTCTTAGTAAATAGTTTGAAAGTGTTGTGGGAATTAGTTGTTTAGCAGAGTGATGGCATGCAGGGGAAAAACGTCCTTGTATGTACATCAGGCATATTCCAATATGTTTTTCTGTCTGTGATTTTCAAAGCATTTTGTATCTTACATAATTTAAAAAGAACAAATGATCTAACAAACCTTATGACCTTTTTGAGATTTCAGGTGACATTACACAAACATGAAGATTGCAGAAAACTCAAGACAGATAGGGGAAAAAAGGAGATGCAAGTGTTGCTGTTTTTGGTACTTCCCTGTTAATTTTTGTTTAAATTTTCAAGATGTTTGTATCCAAAGGAAAATAACTACTCACTGTGAACCAGGAAGCAAAAATCCTTCCACATCAGCAACAAAGTGAGTTTTGTGAAACCCTCAGCATCGTACTCTACCACTCCACTATTAAAAAAATTATTAATGAAAAATATAATTAGAACCACAAAGCAAAATTAGGCAGGGAAGGCTTGGCCCTTCCTGTTGGCATACATAAATTCGTGTATAGGGCAAAAGGCACTGTTTCCCTCTCTAGTTAGGCACAAACAATATTAACTAATTACTCTGTTGTGGACATTAACACCTACTGTGTGCAGCTACCATTACCTACTTGTTTTCCTAGTTCTTATTTAGACCCCATTATACCCAATGAACTTTCCTTCTGGCAGCTCCAGTTTTTAAGCAGCAAATGTGATTAGAATTTACTACAGTACTTATATTTTTCCTTTTATTAATATGTACCGAAAAAACCTGAAATAAAGGTGCACACATGCACACACTTTTAAACGCAAAATTAAAAATGTTGCAACTAGAATAATTAGAAATATCAGCAGAATTAAACTTTCAAAAGTAGGAAAAATTCTGGAAGGTTCTAGAGGAAATGGATTATCTAGACCTTTTTCAATGCGGGTTCAGGCTTCTGCATGGCACTGACCCACATCTATCACACCTGTAGGTGACCTCTGGCAGGACTTGGATGGGGAACTGTTAGTGAAAATTACATAGCTAGTTAGGTGCTATAAACTAAATGGGCAAATATCTGCTATCTTGATCTATATTCTCATCTTGCTGATCCTGTCCATCCACATTATCCATTCTTTCCATTTTTCTATTTCACTCAACATAGCTTTTCTAATGCATCCACCCATTTAGTATGTCCAAAGTATTTGAGTTTCTGCTTGCTGATTATTGCCTCAAGGGAATTGCCCGTTTTTATTTCATCTAGCAGCCTGGCCAATTCTGCCAGCAGGCCCTAAGTACTTAAGTAACCAGCTGTACATTAACACTGGAAAATCACTGTTTTAACTATTCTGATCTTTATTCCCATAGAAATAGTATTTTCCTTCATGATTTTGTTTAGAATTAATCTTCCAGTTTCTTCTCCAATGTACTGTCCATCTTAATGTCAGATCCCTGTAGCTGTCATTTCTTCAGTGGAAGAAGAAGGGGGGGGGGAGAATGATAAAGAAATCCTTTCTTGATATAACTTGAATACATTCAATCTTACATCGAATTTGTATAACCCACACATGATACAATGGAGAAAGGAATCCCAGATGGCCGGAACCTAACACCTCTGAGCAGCACAGCCAGGAGATGAGAAGACCATATAAAATTCCAGTGAGATGTATGCTTAGGAAACTGTGAAAAAGATTGTTCCTTCAGAAGGGGTGGGGGGTGAAATAAACATACTGGCTTTTGTTTCACAAAATACACATTGAGAGAAGGGGAGGGGTTCTAAACTCCCTTATCTATCTCTGCATACCTGAGAGACCTTAAACGCTGCTTTTAACCCCTACATGAATTGTCTCATCTCAATAAAGGATTCCTTTTTGATACGTTTTGATACGTTTCCAGAAGTTCATTCTAGTTGATTGAATGGGAAAAGTTCTGTAGCCTGACACCTATTCTTGAATCCAAACCTCAAAATTACCCTTTTCACCTATAATTTCACTAATTATACTGTTGAGAATTTATTTGGCTTCTTAATATTTAGCATTAATCTAGAATTTTGACTACTTCTACTTTCAACTAACAAAGGGTACCACCTGTATTATTCATGTTTTTGTTGTTAATAATTTCCCCTTATTTTGGCTTTTTTCTCACCAACTCTTCAGAAATGATCTTGAAGGATAGAGTAAGAAAGAAGAAATGCTAACATTCTTTTCTTCTATACTATGGCATAATTTATCTATTAGTGCATAATAAATACAAATGTAACATAACTACAGTAATATAACTTGGGGCTACCAAGCTTAAATATGGATATTTAAAAAAACTCAAGTGGCAAAAATATTTTTTAGTACATATGAGTAAAAATAGACAGAAAGCTAGTGCTTATAGTTATATTCCATTTTAAGGTGAAACATATATACGTACGTTCCAAAATGACTAAGAAATGCTGCAATATATTCCCTTCTCTTATGGTAACCCTGGATAACATATTGAACCTATAAAGGAAAAGAAAAAATGAATGCAATTATAATAAAACTAAATTACAATATAGAATATTAATTTGGGAGAGTTTTTGCTTTACTAATAATATAATTTATACATTATGTATAGCAAAATTGACAGTAGTCTAGAAATTTTTTTTACATGCATTAGCAATAAGAGGTTGGTGTAATAAACATATATAATAATTACACATACTTTGCATTTTAAGGATTAACAATTTGATTAAACCTTATTATGATATTAAATTCTGCTGTTTTACATAATGGCAATATACTATCCATCTGGAATTTCATACAGTATTTCATAAGTAATTTGAAGAAGTCTATGGTTTCTAAGCATTTTGTTTTATATTGAAATGCAATTTTGTGTATTTCACACTTCTGAAATTTCCTGGGCCAATGTTTAAGTGTTGCAGTTAGAACATGTCTATCATGTTCTATCAGTTCATAATTTCTGCACAATATTCTTATTTATTTATGACACATTACATAGTTGTCTGACTACTAACTGGAACACTAAACAGGGAGCAATTTTTTGTAGTTTAAAAACAGATCTGGGCACTTGCAAATTTAAAAAAAATAACTAACCAATAGAGCCATAACAAAAACAACTCTAAAGATAGATTCTGGTATAGAAATGCATTTTGAAGTATATTTCATAAATTCATAATTTATAAGATTCCTTTAAGCAAGAGCAATTTAAACAGGAATAAAGGTTATTTCCAGACTATTTCAAAATCAGGTAACAGATAACAGGTAATCAGAGTTGGAAGGGACCTTGTAGGTCATCTAGTCCAACCCACCGCCCAAGCGGAAGACCCTACACCATTTCTGACAAATGGCAGTCCAATCTCTTCTTGAAAGTCTCAAGTGATGGCGCTCCCACAACTTCTGAGGGCAAGCTGTTCCATTGGTTGATTGTTCTCACTGTCAGAAAGTTTCTCCTTATTTCCAGGTTGAATCTCTCCTTGTTCAGTTTCCATCCATTATTCCTTGTCTGGCCTACAGGCACTTTAGAAAATAGATTGACCCCTTCCTCCCTATGGCAGCCCCTCAAATATTGGAAGACCATTATCATGTCTCCCCTGGTCCTTCTCTTTATTAGACTAGCCAAACCCAGTTCCTGTAACCGTTCTTCGTATGTTTTAGCCTCCAGCCCCCTAATCATCCTAGTTGTTCTTCTCTGTACTTTTTCTAGAGTCTCAACATCTTTTTTATAATGTGGTGAACAAAACTGGATGTAGTACTCTAAGTGTGTTTTACTAAGGCTTTCTAGAGTGGTATTAGTACCTCCCTTGATAAGATTGATGCAAACCCTGACGCAAGTTGTACAGCTGAAATGCAGAAAGCTATGCATGGTTTTTTCAACTACTCCTGGATCACCCCAAAGTGACCTTCCATTAGGCAAGTTCACCTTTGGTTTTGAAATTTCTGACAGAATTAACCTTAGTTCATAGGGTTTATCAATTTATCAAGAATAATTTATTTTTACCCTAGTCTAGAGCCCTTGTATTGGAATATCTTGGTAAAAAGTTTGTCTATTCTGGGTATTACCTTGTTGGTTAATAGTTGGCATACTTGGGGAACATAATCAATGAGGCAACCTCCACCTGGAAAAGCAGGAATGTGAAGAGCAGAAGATCCACCAAGAGCACTAGAAAAACAAGTCCATTAAGTAACATCAGATAAAGCTTTGTGATTCTTTCAAAGGTATACATTTTCCATATAAGACGCAACGTATCCTTATGTTCAGATATATTACATATAAAAATCATATCACATTATATATACACAACCCAAAAATGTAATATTAGACTACTGTTTCAATGTTTGCGTTAGATACAGAAAGCAGAACTACATCTATGTTGAGTGATGAAGAAAACCCACTGAATCCAATGGGTTTGGTTTAGAATGTCTTACCACATACTAAAAATCCATAACATGCATGTATCTGAAACCAGGATGAACACATTTATTGACCTTTTCTCTTTTGTAAACAGAAGGAGATAAACATCCCAAAGATTTGTTTGCCACTTTTTAATGCCAGCTTATACTAAGTTTTGGTTGGTCCCTGAGCTTGGCTGTTTGCTTGCAACCATTCAATTACCCAACTAGATAACATATCAATATCATCATAGAGATATAATTTTATTACTGATAACAATAATAATAATTTAATAAATAATATATTAATATCTGTAACAATACCTCTAAAACGGGTGTCAAACTTTTTTGGACTGCATCAGGGTTGTGTTTGACCTCGGAGGGGCTGGGGGCATAACCAGATTGACATCAGTTATGCTAGGAGCGCCTGTGGTGGCCTGGAGGGCTTTTTGGCTGTGATGGCCTCCTCCAGCCCTCTGCCAGTGAAAACAAAGCCCAGCAGGGCCACGAGCACACCTCCCGAGCTCTGTTTTTGCTGGCAGAGGCACCACAGGCCGGTCCTTCACTGCTACCAGGGTGGCCCTGCAGGCCAGATCTAAACATCCCATGGGCCAAATCCAGCCCGCAGGCCTTGAGTTTGACACCCCTGCTCTAAAACTATCAAATATCAACCTCTGTCTATCCTAGGTCTTTGAGAAGGACTCAATAGCTGGATAAAAATGGCAAATTCAGTGTTAACTGTGCGACGAATCATAAACAATACTACAATTAATAATGTTTTTTCTTGATGTCCAATACTGTTTTTTCTAACTGTTCCATTTTAAATGGCTTCTTTTTATTGTATTCTAAGCAAAGCCACCATACAATATTGAACTTTTTATTCTTGTTTTTAGACTAGACTTGCAGCACATTGGCAATCTAAGAAGTCAAAGCAACAGGCTGAATAGGGTAAGTGGAGACAGCTAGAGTTTTCTCACTATAACAATAAATAATCTAGAGCCACAGGAGTATTTTTTTCAAACAACTATGCTAATTGAATAATTTATGAAGCAGAAAATATAAACATCGTTCAAAATAACATCTGAGCATATTTTGCTCCTTTTTATGAAGTTCTCACACTGGTTTTATTTTAATCTTACAAAGCAATTTAAGATTTTTCTAGACTTCAGGGAAGAAATGGTGAACTGAAGATGGCAATGCTAAAACCAGAGCTAACAATCTTAATTGAACGAAGTACTGGCAAGCAGCACTGCTCTTTGTAATTCCTCTCTAGGCAAGATGAGGACTTTCTATCACCCATAAATGTTCTAGAAAACCACTCCTCGCAAGAGCAATGTAGTAGTCTCAGGCAGATTAAGAATCTAGGAAATAAACTTTAAAGATACTATTTGGATTAAATTGAGAATCAGAAAGTTGTAAAATGGTGATTTCTCTTCTGGCATTAAAAATGGAATTCAGAAAAATGAAAGAAACACTACAAGAACGAGGTGAATCGCTGGGTTTTGCTTTAAAATTTACTGAAAATGTGACAGCAGAATATGAACAACAAAGACAAAAGGCAGAAGAGGAGGTGGAGCAAATCACAGAAGAGACCATTTTTAGTGATCATCGAGAACCAAGAACTCTTGAAAGTAATAAGAAAAGAGTTGGAAATAAATACAGGAGATTTAAGAAATTAAATAAAAAGGGGAATATCCAAAAAATTTAAAAAAGGGGAAGAGTCAGCAGAAATTCAAAGGGCGAAAGGAAATTATAAATAGAGAGAGAGAGATAAAAACTGGAGTGAAAGAACAAAGGAGAAAAGACAGGGGGAAAGAAGGGACAAGAAACAGGATTTGGAAACAAAGAAATATGGGAATTGTAAAAAAATGGGAAAATCCTTAATTGGACACAGAGATAAAGAGTGATTATTATATAGAAAGAGGATTCTGCAAAGCATTCAGAGGTAATATAAATAAATTTATAGTTACAAAATAGGGACATATAGACTGACAAGATGAAAAAACAGAATTGTTATTTTTTGGATAATGGAATCTAATGCTCTTCCTCTTTATGTAGAGAGATAATTGTAACAAATAATGGAATATGTATATTAGATATATTGAAATTTTTTAAGATTGGAATGTTGGCTTTTTTTGGTTTAAATATGAATGGAATAATTAATGGAATATGTGTATTAAATATATGGAAATAAATGAAATGATATAGGAGGAGAGCTGAAATGGAATTAATTTTAGGGCTTAGGACTGCTTTACTGTTTGAATGAGTAGATATGTCCTTTTGGGGGAAGGATTTAATGAAATTTAAAAGGAGAAAAATCATGCAGAATCTGATTTATATATGCTATGTATTTTTAAAGGGATTATTAAGTTTAATGTTTTAGGTAATAATATTAAATGTTTTAACAACATTTAAAAGGGGTGAAAATAAACGAATTATAACTTAGAGGTGGTGCACTTATATTGAGATTTCAGGGGGGAAACAAATTTATAGAAGAAGTGTCCTTTTTTAATTAGAATTTAAGATGAAATATACAAATGTGACAGTTAAAAGTACTAAAGTATAGTGATTATGAAGTTATCGTAAGTGAATTAAATAACGAGATAAATATTTGGAATAATACAATAAAATAGAAAATGTATAAAAGCACTGTTAAGATAAGGAATTGGATATAAAAATTGAATATGTAATCATGTTCATATTTGTATGTATATGTGAAACCTGTAATCATGTTGTTCACTAAAAAGAGATGTTAAAATATAGAAAACTGAATAAAACTTGTTTTAAAAAAAAGAGTCTAGGAAATGAGGGGATGCCATCTTTGCTTAAAATGCGGTTGGTGCCTTTATGGACACTAGGTTTGCATACTTCCTTTTCTAATCAATAAGTTACGGATAATTTTAACTGCTTCTTGCAATTAAATATGAGAAGATATAAAAAAACATAAAATAAATAAAACATATCACATTTGAATAAAATATTAAAAATACAAATTCCCAGTTCTTCCAATAACCTTCAAAATGAAATGTACAAGTGTTTCTAGAAAGGAAATTAAATGTGCAAAATTCCTATTTGCTGAAATTCTGAGTCTGAGGACCAATTTGTAGCTAGAGCATTTAGGAATAAAATCTATATAATAACATACAATAATTCAGGACTATAGCTATGCTTTTTGATTACCTAACTATCAGAGAATAGATTCAGTTCAATGGGGAAAAATATATTCGGATAGATATCATTCTACCCAAAAGATCCTTAGAATTCGTATACAGTAGAAAAAAGATCTTTCTGAGAGACTCTACATAAACAGTAAAGCAGAGATTGAATGTAGTGACCCTTTAAATATCTATGGAGATTCTCAGTAATGCATGTCATGGTTGTCCCAAAGATGATTTTTTCAAAAGGCAACTGGACTTATAATCAAATGTCCCTCTATGAATCAAATGTTGATAAACTCTAATACAGTATCTCAACTCCTCGTAGCAGAATGTTACTGTATCATTCTATTGAATAATTGCTCAAGGATGTGAGCATTTCCCAAAAAATATGTATTTTTCAAGTTATCACTATATTGAGCAACACAGAAGTTTTAAAAGGTCAGAATGAATCCTAAAGGAGAAAATACATCTTTGACAAAGAAATCAAACAAGAGAAAAAAGCAAAAACAAAATGGGTTTTCAGAATAGCTCTCTTCCAGTCACAAAAGCATTCATCTATTTTCCCTATATTGTAAAAATTGTAATTCCGGGATCCAATTTGGATCGGTCATTTGGACCAACATTATCCTCGGACGCATATATTTGCCTTCATTTGTTGTAATTCCACTTTAAAATCCACTAATGCTTTAAATAAGAAAGAATTGGCTTGATGTAGCTGACATGCCAGGATTAAACTCTTTGAAAACTATTGGAAATAATGAAAAAGTTGGTATGTTCAGAGACAAAGGAACATATAGAATGACTATCAAAGTAGTCCTCATTTCTATATGCCTTTATAAGGGAAAAAGAATAAGAATGATTCAAAGATGAGCTGATACACTAGCCTAGAGCCAATTATGTTTGTAAGTTATAACCATTTGAAACTCCCACAAATTGGTATTGAAAACTTTTGTGATGCAAACAAATTAAGATATATTAAATAATTAATGTTAAGATTTAATTTATCATTTTTGAAATATGATTTTAAATTATGAATAAAATATTTTAAATCAAAAGAAACTTAGTTTTTAAAAATATTGTATTGACATCATCTTTAATTTTTGTTAAATGCAATTTTTAAAATATGTTCCTTAATGAAAATCACTAATGACTCAAGGGCAATTTTTGTTCAATTAAAATTTTTCAAATCAATTAATATAATTAAAAACTGCAATCCTAATTAAGCTGCCTGAAAGACTATAACAATAACCTTACTTCACTACAGTTGTCAAAAAGACAAAACAAAAATTATATCCAGAGAAAAATTAAGAGTGTTTTCTTGTAACCTGCACATTTTAGGATGGATTAGCCTAGGGAGCTATGGCAAATGTCAGGTTAAATAAATAGGAAACTTTTCTTTATAGATAGTATCTTGGGTCTAATGAAAAGGGCACTGAAATTAAACCATTTTTACAAGTTTGGATGGAGGGGTAGGAAATACAGTTCTCTGATTTTGATGAACTCAATGATGTTATAAAGACACTTAAATAAAACGTAAGAAAACACAAGCAAAACTATTTCCTTGATTCATTTTATTACATGCATGTCTACATTTCTCTTCTTTCACACTTTT